TATTCCTGAAAGCAACAACCCTGAGAATCCTCCTGAAATCACAAGATATATTATGATATATTTTTATAGCCATCCTCCAGATTTTAATTTGTTAGGCAGGTATACTCTGGAGAGATAATCTGATGATAGGAAGAGCAAAGCTTGAGCTTCTGCCTTCATTTTGGAGTCTGCCATTATTTCCATTTCTTTTTTCCAAAATGGTTGGCAAGTAACATACGGTCTCTTCAGGATACTGTCAAGTTTCATTCGGTCCCATTCGCTCAATAGAACTAAAGTGCCTTGAGGTATATCTAACCAGCCTTGATGTGGCTTCTTCTGTAGATCTTTGGTTGCAAGACTTCGGTTCAGCGAATCTTCAGTTGGCTATGCAGGATGATTGTTCTACATTTTAGCTGTAATTCCAGTTTGGTCCTGGGATGAGGTGAGTGTAACTCCCACCTACTCCGCTGCCATCTTGTATCTCCCCGACATAGAAACATTTTCATTTGACCATTTCTTCAATCTCTGAAAGCAGAAAATATGAGTGAAGATTTGGCCAATATCTTTAGAAAGCTTAAGATGAAATTTATTTAAGTTGCTTAGCCAACAGTTCACACTAAAGAACATGTTAATATGAATGCTGCAGCAAGTCTGATAAACAGCAATGAAATATGTTGAGCTTTAGCTTACCCAGAAAAGCCACAGTTATTTGAAATTTAATTGGTACTTAAAATCGCTTTCATGGAAGCAGAAGAAAAGCACAAATGTTAGCTGGTTTTAGCTCAAGCTATTTAAGATAAACAGTTCTTAAATTGTAACAAAAGCTATTACATGACTGAAGCTAATTCAAATTATATATTAAGCTCAAAAGTTGCATTTTGGGTTTTAGTTTTCTTCCTTTTAAAAAATGTGATGGAAATTTTCAAACATATACCAAAAATAGACAAAATATTATAGTGAATGCTTTTAAATCTATTATCCGGCTTGAACAATGACCAATTTAAGGCCATTTTAAATTCTGTCATGACCTTACTTTTGAAGGAATTATTTTGAGGGAATCCCAGATATATTAATCTTTAAACTCTGAAGATCTTTTTCTAAGATAAGGACTATCTTTCTAAATATAATCACATATTAGTATTATCATATCTAAAAATTATTAATTTCTTACTGTCATAGCTACTTAGGGTTTACATTGTTTCAATTGTCAATATAAAGTTTATAATTGCTTGATGTGTCTCAAGTCTCTTTTCATATATAGGCTTTCTTTTTATCTTTCTTTTAAATTTTTCTTTTTTATCTGTTTGCGTTTTATTGAAAAGTCAGGTCATTCTCTGTACCTTTTTTAATGATCTGTATTTTGCTAATTGTATTTCAATGCTGTCATTAAACATATTCCTCTGTCCTCTGTATCTATTATACATTTGGGAGTTAGCTATAGAGGCTTGATCATATTCAGGTAATTTTGTTGTTGTTTTCTGTGTGTGTGTGTGTGTGTGTGTGTGTGTACGTGTGTGTACTACTTTAGAGGTGGCAGTTTGTACTTTGAAGCATCAGGAGGTATAACATGTTTCCTTTTGTGATGTTATCTGCCATTATTAATCATTGTCATGATTGATTAATTTATTGGGGTTTACAAAATGGTGATATTCTTTTTTTAGTGAAAATCTATTTTAATTTTTTTATTGAATTTATTGGGGTGACATTGGTTAATAAAGTTACGTAGGTTTTAGGTGTACAGCTTTATAATACAGCATCTGTATGTTGCATTATATGTTCACCACCCCAACTCAAGTCTCCTTCCATTGCCATGTATCTTCCCACTTCCTTTCCCTTTGGTAATCACAGTACTGTCACTCAATCCCTTCACCCTTTTCACCCAGCCATGCAATGACCCTCCCTTCTGACAGCTGTCAGTCTGCTCTCCATCTATGGGTCTGTTTCTATTTTGCTTGTTAGTTTATTTTGTTCATTAGGTTCTACATATGAGTGAAATCATATGGTACTTGTCTTTCTCTGAGTGGCTTATTTCACTTCACATAATGTTCTAAGAATGGTGATATTCTTAATCTTAGCATTCCTTCATTTATTAGCTGGAATACTTCTAAAAAGAGGGTTCTTTATTTGGTCACCTTGCAGTATAACTCATATAGGAAAGGCAGCATAAATGTTTCATTTTTTAACCTTTATTTACCAGTTTAAAATAATAGGTTGACAGGGATTTGGGGGAGGGAGGAAGAGAGAGTTGGAATTTACTGGGTATAGGGTTTCCATTTGGGAAAGTGAAAAACTTCTGGAGATGGTGGTGATGATTGTTTTAACAATGTGAATATCCTAACACTTAAATATGTTTAAGATAGTAAATTTTATGTTATGTATATATTTCTACAATAAAAATAGGTTGGTTTCTTTGCCTCTTTCAAAGGTGACTGAGTTTGTTTGTTTTTGTCTGTTTGGTTTGAAATATTATCAACTCATGGATGCTAGCATATTTGATGTGTTTTAATCTGTCGCAGATATTATCCTTTTCCTGCTCCAATTGGCCCATTTTTGGTCTGTTACACCTTTTCTAGTTTGCTCCTGAGTCCCTTTGACCTGGACTGCAGGAGCCTTTCATAGCTTCCTTCCACTCTGCTATAAGATGTGTAAGGCTCAGCTTAGAAATTTCCTGCCCAAGACATGGAATAAGCTAGTTCTCTAAGGAACTCTGGTTCCTTTTCATGGGAAATGGTATTTAAAGATCATAATCTAAATGCTAGGGGTGCTCATCGACACTGGGTTGGTCATTGTTCCTAGGCCTTTTTAGTGAATAGGGTTAGAGATAATTTTCTTTTTCTATAAAATACCTCAGGGTTTTATGTGGGTACTTCCAATTTCAACTCAGGATTATAAGGTGTGTATGCAAACTCTTACTTTATATCTTTATTGTTTTTCAAACATATCTAAAATCTCAAAGATTACTTGAATTATTAATTTGATATATCCCAAAGTACCTGAAAATAATTTCAGAACAATAATACTTCAGTACATAATTTATGATTTTTTAAAATTGGTGCAATTATCTTTTAAAATATATATATATTGTTTTATTTATTTCAGAGAGGAAGGGAGAGTGAGAGAAAGATAGAAACATCAATGATGAGAGAGAATCATTGATCGGCTGCCTCCCGCATGCCCCACACTGAGGACTGAGCCCACAACCCTGGCATGTGCCCTGACTAAGATTAAGTGAGCTCAATAAAACTATTTAGAAAACAAATCTATAGAAGCAGACACCCACTGTGTCAGCATGGCATATTTCTGTGGCTCATGATATCACAAACTACTGTGAACATGTGAAGTGTAAGAAGCGCTGAGAATTAAATCTGCTAAATCAGGCTTTCTGAACTGGGTTTCAGAGAATGATTTGAGTGACTAGTTTCTCAATTCTTCCAAGAATGGTACATGACAGGTACCTTTCTAGCTGCAAAGGAGAGAAATTAGTTCATTACGAACAATGGATGTTAGGGTTTGGGTAGTAAGTTCGGAAGGGCTGCTTCGGTTTATTCTAGTCGGTTTGAAGTTGTTTGAGATTAAAGGACGTTTGCTAGCCCAATCTATTCCTACAAAGGCTAAAGAAAGTTCTGACCTGTTCTTGTTTGTTCTTTGGGGCAACACAGTTCCTTCTGTCTAAAAAATTGTTTTGGACGATGGCATGATTGAGGTGGTCATTTCCATACTCAGTGATGGTTGTTTGCTTGGATCTGCTGGAAACCGGGTTTAAGCAATCCAGCAGTGATGTGTTAATCACATATTTCTATATTTGGCAGACTGGAATTTTGTCTTTTGGTGTTTGTTTGTTTGAGTTTAAATTGTTTTCATTGACTTCTTTCAGTCATTTTGGCAGTGAAGTTGGCCTTTTATTTGTAAGATTTGTGTTGGTGTTGCCACTTTTGCCTCATTGTAACGCGGATGAAGAAGTTGGACCCAATCCCCTCCGAGATAAAAACATGTTCCCTCAGACATCAAATAAGACTCAGACTTTAAATGTCCTAAGAAGTTGCTGAAAATATAGAATTAAAAATTCAGGCAACATCACCCTTGCTTTCATCTTCCCTTTGAACAACAACTGTTTTTCTAGGCCCAGTAACTGCAAGATTCTGGTGCCCCGTTTGGAACCATCCAGTGGGAGAACTGAGGTGTGTGAGTGTCTCATCTACAAGTGAGGAAACAGGCCAGGGGAGGCTGGATGAGGTGCCTAAGACCAGAGAAGCAGTTATCAGCAAGGTCAGAACTCTCCCGGGCCTCTGGGTTCTTTCCAACAGCGCCGTGCTGCCTTCCTCTGTGCTGAAAGCTGTTTCCTCACAGCACTGAGGACTGCTAAGTATTGACAAATTTGGGTCCAGGCTTCGTGGGCAGATCAAGAGACATAAAACAGAAAGCAGGAGGCTTTTGGGTAAATGCTGGGCTTTTTGTGGCAGGCTCATCTAAAAAGATAACAATCTAGAGGGACATTTGCTTCTTGGGGATCACCTCTAAGACTATAAAAATGAGAACATTCTCATTGGTGCTCTTTATATTGTAACAGAGAAGGTTAAATGCCCCCCTTCTCCTGCACTGGCCAGGAAACTTGTTTCCTGCTCGGAGAAGAGACAAGAATGGCTGCTGTCTTCTCACTCTCTGAACCTTCACGTCCTCAACAGTATTAACTGAGCGCCTGCAGGGGCAGGCGCCATGCTGGATGCTGGGAAACAAAGGTGAACGCATCAATTCCTGCATCAAAAAATGTATCACCTGTTCATGAGGAGGAGCCACTGAGTAACTTTGTTAGTAGGGAATGCTTAGCATCCCTCATTTCCAGGAATTTCTCTCTTATATCTAATCCAAATCTCACATTTGCAGCATATTTCCATTTTGTTTAATTCTTAATGGATAAGGAATACATATCATTACACTGTTATTAGCTTATCTGTTTTTGTTTTCTTGGGGGGATGGGTTTTTGTTCTTACTTTTTTTGGTTTGCTTTGTTTTTCCTTTTCTGCTTTTCTGTAATCTTTGTAGCTCTCCTCTTGAATGTCTGCCATGAGTGTGCGTGTGCTGTGTAACCATGTAACTTGTAAGTCTCTCCACCACAGGTATGTGGTAGACATAAATAGGATTTTTAAAAAATTTATTTATTAAATTGATTAGAGTGACATTGGTCAACATGAACATACAGGTTTCATGTGTGGATTTCTATGTTATAAGATCTGTATATTGATATTGCATTGTGTGTCCACCACCCAAAGTCAGATCTTCTCCTGTCACTCAGATCCTTTTCTCCCTCTTCCATATTATTATCCTTTTCTCCCTCTACCCCCTTCCCTCTGGCAACTGCCTCTCTGCTGTTCATGTTCATGAGTTTCAGTTTTATATCCCACATATGAGTGAAATCATATGGTTCTTAGCTTTTTCTGTCTGACTTATTTCACTTAGCATGATATCCTCAAGGTCCATCCATGTTGTTACAAATGGCGCTATTTCATCCTTTCTCATGGCTGCATAGTATTCCATTGTGTATATGAACCGCATCTTCTTTATCCAGTCCTCTACATGGGACACTTTGGTTGTTTCCATGTCTTGGCCACCATGAACAATGCAGCAATGAATATAGGGGTGTATGTATCTTTGCAAATACATGATTTTGAGTTTTTTTGGGTATATACCCAGGAGTGGGATTGCTGGGTCATATGGTAGCTCTAGTCTTAATTTTTTGAGGAATCACCAGACCGCCTTCCATAGTGGTTGTACCAATCTGCATTCCCACCAGCAACTTCTTCAACACTTTTTATTGCTTGTCTTGTTGATAATGGCCACTCTAATGGGTATGAGGTGGCATCTCATTGTAGTCTTGATTTGCATTTTTGTATTTGCCAGTGAAGTTGAACATCTTTTTAAAATATATATATATATATATTGATTTCAGAGAGGAAGGAAGAGGGAGAGAGAGATAGAAAGATCAATGATGAGAGGAATCATCGATCGGCTGCCTCCTGCCTGTTTGTTTTGTTGTCTGTGTCTTTTGCTGTGCAGAAGCTCTTCAAGTTGATACAGTCCCATTTGTTTATTTTTTCCTTTACTTCCCTTGCCTTTGGGGTTAAGTCCATAAAATGATCTCCACATAGGTCCATAAGTTTGGTACCTCTGTTTTCTTCTACAGTACTTATTGTTTTGGCTCTTATGTTTAGGTCTTTGATCCATTTTGAATTAATTTTTGTACAGGGGGACAAATTGTAATCCAGTTTCATTCATTTGCATGTGGCTTTCCAGTTTTCCCAGCACCATTTATTGAAGAAACTATCTTTACTCCAGTGTGCGTTTCTGGTCCTTTGTCAAAAATTATCTGTCCATGTATGTGTGGTTTTATGCCTGGGCCCTCGTAAATAAGATCTTGAACTCAAGTATTTTCATAGAAGCAGTGGGTTTTGAGTTAGAATTCAGAAGAGATGCTTTATAGTGTACAGAGTATAAATAACACCATTTAAATTACTTTCACGTCTATTATTTATTTATACTTTCTATAATCTTATGAGTTACAAGTACAATTATCTTTATTTGGCAGGTGAGAAAATACAGCATTAAGAAATTATGCTGTATAAAGAATACATATAAAGTTAGAATGGGACCAAGCTGAGAGATTGGTTATCTAGAATTAGTCCGTGTTACTCTACTGGTTCTATTTCTCTGATGTTTTTATGAAATCATGTAGCACTGATTGTAGTTTGATAGAAGAGGGAAGGAATGGCATGTCTAACATATGCATACCCATATTTTGACTTTTCTGCTCACTTCCTTTCTCAGAGTCCATGGTAGAACCTATCTTGAGTGTGCAGCAGACCTAACCTGGTGACCCTGCCCTCACCAGCCATAGCAGACTGGCCGGGGACAGACATGTGGCCTTACATGCAACAGTGGGCTCTTGCTCTTAGAAATTTGAAATTGACTTATGGGACCTACTCAGCATTGTAGTAGTGGCTCTTGAACATGGAAAATGTAAAGCCAGGGCTGACCCATGGACAAATTAAGATAGGAAAGCTGTTGTGACAGAAAACTAAAGCAATTGGGCATTCACATCACCATCAAGCTGTACTCCCTGACTGGCAGATCCTTGGTTTTTATCCTATAAATTTCCTTTTTGCTTAAGGACCTTGAGTGGATTTTAGTTCTTTACAGCCAAAGGAGCCTAAGATCCAATGAAATGCTTCATTTAGGTAAAAGGAAGTCACCTGAAGAGGTTTATCCTGGGGCTTTGGTTTTTTTCTTTCTCTTTTTATGATATATTTATATTGATTT